GGTGAGGTATGGCTTCAGACCTATTCTCTTAGTAAAGTTTGGTTTTGCATCTTTTTGATCAGTTTTATTTTTTTTTTTGTTTCCGTTTGCTCAATTTGTCTTTCATGTCCTATTCTATTTAGTTCATTTTAATTTTATTCTAATCTGTTTTGTCTTATTTTATGATGATGCAATATGTTATTATAGATTACAAGGATCTTTGATTTTTGAGATAGTCTAGTTATGTTTCATTAGTATCAAAGCAAATATTAGACTATTTGCTTTTGGTAGCATGTCAATAGTCATCATCTACTCCAACGTCAATTGTTGTAGTTATATTGGATATTGTATTGAAGCTACTATGAGCTACTCCTAAAAAATCAATCAAGATGTAAAAAGATAATACAATAGTGGACTCCAACAAAGAAATTACAATATAACAGATATGACAGAGCAATCTCAAATGGAGGCTCAAATATAACACCTCTTAGGCGAGATAGCTACTTTGCAAGTGCAAATAGAGGCCTAGAGGATAAGAGAGTCGACATCTACTAGATTGAAATTGAATAAGCCTAGTACTTACTTTGGAACTTCAAGACAAGAACATATATGTCAATGGTTCTTCAACATGCAATAATATCTCCAACTATCTGGAACAAAAATCATTGAAAAAATTATATATATATATATATATATAGCCAATTATTTGAGAGATGCGATAGCCATTTTGTGGCTACATTGAGTTCAAAATTATGGAGCTCAAGGTAGATTTTGTAACTTGGAAGAGTTTGAGACTGAGTTTAGGAATCAATTTTGGTCCATCAATGCGAAAAAAATATCAAGCAATCAGATGGCAAATCTTTCATAAGTTAGGCCAGTGCAAGATTATGTCTCTCAATTCAAGTCCGTATATCTCGAAATTGGCAATGTTTTGAAGGCATAGATGATGGATCAATTCCTATGAGGTTTGAAACCTAGAGTCCAGCGAGAGGTGGAACTAAAACATTGACAAAAATTTGAAGAGGCAATTCAGATTGTAGAAAGGATCAATGCTATAGATTTCTAAAATTATAGAATATGACTTATAGTACAAAGTTCTATGCTACTATCTAGTATTACGGCACAAGAACTAAAGCCAATGGAAATTGATGCCCTACTATAATCATTAATACCATAAAAATAATAAATATTGGTATAAAAAGAATTATATTTCTATTATTGAGAGTCAGGCCATTAGATCGGAGGTTGTCTAAAATATCAAGGTGTAAGTACTAGCAAGACAAGACAAGTTCAGAGTCTTAAAATTCATCAAGCAAATAATAAATTAGAGTAGGAAAATGGGGCTCTCCAATAAAGATGCAAGAGGCTAGTACTAGGATAGTTACTCTCTCTAAGAGACAAATGGCATAGCTTTAGACAACTATAAAAAGAGTTTATTGGTGCATCTTACGAGACTACTAAGAAGACAACCATATCGAGTGCTTGTAGATTGTGGCTCTACAAAAAATTACATCTCAATTGAAATTACCAACTGGCTTAGAATTAAAATCAAAGAAATCAAGGAAAGAAGTATATACCTTACAAATGACTAAGAGAATGTATTGAGTGAGATGTATGAAGAAGAAACCTCGAGATTGATAAAAACCTTATTTTTAGAGAAAGATTCAAGGTGACAAAGCTAAGATATGATGTTATCCTTAGTATGCCATGGCTACAAATGGAAAATAAGAAAGTTGGTTAGATAGCAAGGACAATCTCTTTTAAAGATAGAGGATGCAAAGTGACTCTTTGTACATCCACATCAAGTGAAGAAGAAAGTGAACTTGCAATCAAAGACTTACTTGTAGAGATGACCTTTATGAACAAGCAACTACAACATGAGCAACTGGTATATATGGTGGTTCCAAATCTTGTATCAATGGTAGAAAAGACAATCGAAGGGATAAAAAGAACATAGCAACTCATATGAAAATATTAGGATGTTTTTCTAATTGACCTACATAGTGTCATACCTCTTGATGGAGGTGCCTTCTTTTCAAATAGAACTATTGCTTGGAGCCAAATCAACAAGTTGATCAATTTATTATCTAGCACCAAAAGAATTTAAAGACTTGCAAAAGATATTAGATAAACTCTTAGAAAAAGGCCTCATTTAAAAAAGTACATTATTATAGAAAGCACTTGTATTCTTTGTACCTAAGAAATATTGTGGACTTCACCTTTCTATTAACTATGAAGGTTTCAATATGCAGACCGTTAAAAATGCATATCAACTTCCACACATAGATGATCTTCATGACCAACTTCAAGGTGTGACCATCTTTAGTAAATTTGATCTTTAGAGTGGCTATTAGAAAACACCTTTGTAAGAGAGGATATAGAAAAGATGGTATTTTATACATGCTATGGACATTTCAAATGGCTGATTTTATCCTTCGGCCTCACTAATACTCTAGCCTCTTTCATGGATTACATGAACAAATTTTTTTGAGACCTTTTGGATAAATATGTAGTCATTTTCATTAATGATATCTTCATATATAGTAAAATCCTTAAAGAACATGATCAACACCTATGAAAAGTGTTGTGCTGATTGTAAGATAGTCGCTTCTATAACAAGCAATCAAAATGTGAACTTTGGAAGTCAGAAGTCACTTAAATCTCCATTTAGCATAAATCTCCATTCCTACTGAATCAAAAAGTCATATTCCAATTATGAATATTTAGAAGTTAAAAGTTAAAAGTCAAAAAATCATATTCCAATTATGATTATAAATCTCCATTCCTATTGGTCAAAAATCATGACCAATGGACTTCAAGGAGGCTGCCCCAGGCCATATTAGGAATAAGGATTACACTTTTAGGCCATTTAAGCTTTTGGAAGCTAAGGTTGGCAAATTCAGATTTTTGGCTATGGTTTTGATAGAAATTTTGAATCAATTGGAGTTTTTATGAAGGAGATATAGGCACTCAAAGTCAAGGTGTCAATTTTATACTTACTATCATACTTTTGGATATAACGCACGCATATAGAAAGCATCAAAGGATCAGCTATTGAGATTAAAGAGAATGTATGTAATCATGTTAATAAACTTTATGTACAAATTTTATGGCATTTGGATTTTGGATTTTTGAGATATAAGAAAAATATTTTTTGGATGCTTGTAGATTAGGATTTAAAGTACTTGCTAGGATTTCAAAGATACCAAAAGATTGGTAATAGATTTATAGTTCATTTTTTTATAATAAAGCTTAAAAATAAAATCTATATTAAATAGAAATTTGGAAAAAATTAAACTGTTGAATCAAGAAATATGAATTTCTAAAGTTCAGGATAAAAACATCCTTTATAGATTTTTTTTTTTTTTTTAAGGATTATATTATAATTTGAGCTTTTGTACAAGATAAAGAGATTTTTTGGAAGTTAAGACATCATATATATGCCAAAGCTAAACTCTCTATAGCTAGGTACCTAATATATTCTCAGATTCCAAATCATACCATACGACACTACGATTTTATATTTTTCAGATGTAAATCATGTAGCAAGGGTCAATGGTCAATCCAAACAACCATTGACTTCCTCAATAGATAGTGTTGTTACACCTTTGTGGCATGCACAATTGTTAATTGCTTTCGATAACATGTAGAGTAATTGCACTTGCCCTTTTGAGGTTGCGTGATTCATATGCTACTTATTGAAGGCCCCTACTAAACTCGTCTTGAAGAACCACTCAAATAGTAAAGTCAAAATTCAAAAAACACAAAAAAACAAAAAAAAAACAAAACAAAACAAAACAAAACAAAACAAACAAACAAACATAACAACAAACACATAAAATCTCTTATAAATAAATAAAATATATATATATATATATATATACACAAGAGAATTATTTTACTAAGATTTGAAATAACAAGCACATACAATTGTACTTCTATCAAGTTAAGCATTAGAGCCACTAAATGTTTTAAAGATTATCTAAAAACTATTCTAAGTTTTTATCAAATATAGCAAAAACTATGTTTTAGGGAAGTACTAGCTTTTGCTCATCTTTGGAACCTCTATATAGACATCAAATTGTATGGTAACTAAACCTACCATATCACATACATGTAAATATATTAACTAGGTAAAATATAAAGTATTTCTATAGCAAAAAAATCCTTGATATTAAAATATTTCTTTACTTACATCTATACAATTGAAATAAATAAGAAAAATAAAATTCACTTGTGTCATTCTTTGCCATCTTATTTTAATTTTAAATTTTATAAAAATTTATATTTTCTTAATAACTATTCATATTTTATATAATTTAATAAGAAAAAAAGATGATATCAAACATAATTGAGCATCTTTAAAATAATGACCACTAGTCCTATTTGATCAAACATAAAGATAATTGATCAAATATTATTGAATTTATTCACTTTCTATTTAAAAATTTCTTCCTTGTATTTAAACTTTATACTATTAGCTTTATTTTTCTATACATACAAAACTAATTTTAAAGATAATAAATTATTTTTCTTTCTAGATAAGTAATTAATTCTTCACTTTAGATTGTTGTTTCTTACTGTATTAAAAGATAGTCCAAAAAAGTAATAAAGTTTAGATATTGCTTTTTTCTGCAAACAATACATCAAATTCTCGCTTACTTTTTGTTTTGTGAATCTTTGCCAACTTCATCCTCACCTTGATTCATCCTTGGTTCAAAACATTCATGTAATGTGGGAACCTATCACTTGAATATTAATCTAAGCACTATACAGCAACTAGTATTGGCAAATTACACCTAGGCCATCAGGAATGCTTGCGACTAGTGTATCTCTTTGATCCCAGTTGTGAAGTGTGCTTTAGAGTCATTACTAAGTTCTGGAGGTACTGGAAACCTTTTTCTGGACCTCATTATTTAGCCAGCACGTTATAAATCATGGTACATGAATTGGTACCACTAGGTTCCTCAACTAAAACCTAAAAACTTTCATAATCATCCATAGATTTCAAGTGGCACACATTAAATTTTAATGCAACTCTCAGATTGTACTTATTGATCTAAGTTCAACGACTGACGATGGGTTGATGACAAGAACTTCCTGTAAAGCCCTGGTGACAGGTAAACGCTACCTGAGAATAGTGTGAAAGACACGCATTCACATTGGACTGCCAAGTGATTAGACTTCAATCCGTATTTTCACCATCCTACTTGGTAGTTTTCCAGCACCAAGCAGAAGGAAAATATCAAATGGCAGGCCCTCAGTAGTGACAATATTGTTACAAGAGGGTTTTCTGATCCCTTAAGTAGCGCATAAATTACAAAAGTTGTTGCTCATAGAAGGTCGTCTGTAGTTGTTTCACATGAGCAATCCAAGCAGCCACATTCTGCCCATCCACTAAAATCCAATCAACAGCACTAGCTGCTGGCTGCTCCCACCACTCATCGACCTGCCAATATTAAATGAATCAAATATCAGATACGCTTTCTATGAGAGAAAAAACCATTTCTTGGAGGATGGTTGTGCCAGCATATAAGCCAATTGCCAACGAATGCCAAGGGTAAAGGGGAACCTACTAGGCCTCGAACACGCTTGCAATCTTCTAAGCATTGCTGGGCGTCTTGAACTGCAAGTTTGAGCTGTGGAAGCCATTCCTCTAATGACACCTTCTCCTGTTTTCTAGCTGTCTCTGTGCAATGTGTAGCCGTCCTGTACAGTCCAGTTTTAGGATTTAGTATACACATTGTTTACACTAAAGTAGATAATTGAAAATGAAGAATTTAATACAGCAAGAGCAGTGTGGTACCTCTCGTACTCTGGTCTTGATGCATCAGCTTCTGCAATCAGCCCGCGGCCGTTGCCTACTAAGTCCCTAAGTGTTTGCACTCTGTTCAGAGTTTTGGCAAGATCTTCAAGAACAGTTCCCGGTGAACCTCCAGGCCGCAAGAAAAATCGCATAGATTCCAAAATCGACGCTAAGCTAGGGTCCACAGTATCTGCTCCTGTGTCATTTGATAGTCGATAAGTATAGAAACCTTAGAGAGATCATTTGGGTGCTAATTTAATTTCACAGTTGTTCCACGTAACCAAGACGTTGGACTTTCATACCAGGTGTATATTTTAGGGCAGCTGAAATACGGCAGATTGTGGGAACAGCAGAGGGATCTCCGGCTCCAGCCCTTACTGTAAGCATGTCGGCATGCCTTTCGGCAGCTACAACAGCTTCAGTTCCAGCATTTGTGGCTACTCCTCTTGTATCCAGTAAAGCCTAGGCCATCAATACATACATAAAATTTTAGCCAGTATACAAGGATACTCTCATTCAGTGTAGCTTACTGCATGTTACACCACTTCGACCAAAACTTAAATCAGGATAGTCAAAACACAGCAGTAACTAGCACCTAGCCGATCGCCTCAGCCATAAGAAGCAACATGCTCACTAGGACCAAAAAATCATAGTACAACACGCTAACGAGTGTACCTGAGGAGCAGCAGGCATCATGTAGGGTCGATTGTCGGGAATCCGCTGGAATGCTGCTACTTCACGCTCTAGTAGATCGCGTGCAGCACTTGCTTGGTTCTGAGTCGATTCACAGATGGGTACAATCGTATTGGCGGATTGCTCTTTGTTTCCCCTGGTATGTTGCTCCCATGAGGCGGCAGCTGCCTGAAGAAGAATCAACGTTCCATATTCAGCAATTCCTGAACTTTACATTGTTCTCTATATTCCTTTACCACATCTATAACGTGATACAGTTTGTGGCGATGCAATGATCTAGGTACCGAGTTCTTTTTGGGGATGTGATGGTTTTTAATTTTCTCTACATATGTTTTTTATGATATGAATTACGGTGTGGGAGAATTCAGGCAGTATTGAGAGGAGACATACCATGTTTGCACGCAGCAAAGCAGTATAAATCGATTCAAGCTCCAAACGTCTAGCATCGAACTCTTCAATCCTTTTCCATTTCTCCTGCAAAGACTCCTCTGCATCTCTCCGCTCCTCACACATTTTTTGCAAGCGCTGAACCTCAGAGTTGATAGTGTTTACGCTTGCTCTCATTCCTGCTAGCTCCCTCTCTCGGGCCCAGACCTCCAGCTGGAAGACAGGGTCAACATGTTAAAATGACGGAATACCTTATCGACTGGGAGTCATCATACGTTTGCAAACAAGGCAATGAGTAGTGATTTATTTAAAGGTGCACAGCAAACATCCCACATAAACATCAGCTGGGAAAGAAACAGCTCAACATTGATAAGTCCTAATAAACGAACAAACACCTTCTCTATACCACACAATCTCGATGTTTTCATGACATAAATATCGTAGAGTAAGAGGGATAGTATACACTACCTCAAGTTGACGCAAGCTGCCAGAGTTTTGTACATCTGAGTTTGTAAAGGAGGGCACGGCATCAGTGCCACGTATCCGCCGTATCAGTTCATCAGTCATTCTTCTGGCTTGAGCGACCTGATTCAAGGCATCCTCGGTTGCCATAAATTGCTGCACATGGGCTTTCTGAAAATTAAAACAGAAACAGAGTCAGAGGCTAAACGATATTTTGTAAAAAGACCGATCGTTGACAAAATACTCTTGACACTCACCTCCATTGGTTCGATGTGTAAAGGTCAGTTTGCCAAACTTCAGTTATTGAAGGGATATACGCCAGATACGAAAGTTGATCTACATAAAGTAAGGCCATCTACAGGACACTAGTCTCTGGTTTCAAAGTAATTGGAAATTAGTGGAAGTTGAGAATATAGACCTGTCTTTCTCGGAGCTGTCGAAAAGAACTCTTGCTAGGACCTCTGTCACTGCGTCGTCTCCCAATCAGTGAATCATCTACCTCAGCAGAAATGTCCTCCAAAACTCTGTTATTTTCAAACCTATACCTGTATGCCATCGTAAGAAAAAATTAGACGTCTGATAGCTAAATTCAAATACTGGATGACTGCATATCTACTTCATCCCCGCTGCTTCACTTCCAGCTTCGGACAGGGACAACTCAGGGTGATAGACAAGAATAACAACGACCACTCACACGTATGACAAAAGGATTCAATACCTGAGACGCTCTGCATCGGCTCGAATATCAATCTCCTCAGTTTCTCGAGATATAGCAGCAACAATTCGAGAGGTGTATACAGCTAAAGCCTGGAGAAGTAAAGGAGGGCTCTTTAGTAACGTAAGTGCAGTCTCTTGCACCTCCTCGGGTATACTGTCCCCATCCACCTCGAACCCAAGCTTCGCGACTTCAAGCTGGGTATGATCCGGGTGACCTCTCCCACCATCATAAGCAGAAAAAGTCGTCCTTATCTTGTGAGTTAGATCTTCGGCAAGAGCTTCACAGGCTTGTCGGACGGCCTTTTCTCGTGGAGTCTCGGTCAGAAGCTGATTAGCTGACTGCCCACATTTCGACGGCCCAGGCATAAAGTCCACACTTGAATCAAGAGATCCATTTTTCCCTCTCTGTGCCTCCCTAGCATGCTCTACGTATGCTTGAAGTCGACGTGAGTACTCCGTAAAAATACGAGTTGTCTGCTCAACCCGATGCTCATAAGATTCCAGCAACACCTGCTTGTGTCTAACAACCATCACAAAAATAATGACTGTTACTAATCAAACTACACGTGAGCTCTGAAGGTTATTTTGCATCATAAACCGCCAATCAGTTCCAAACTGCACTTCGTGGCCATTAAGCAGGACATCAACAACAAGACTTACATTAAACCATCCAAATCTAATGCCCTAAAACAAAGTTCTGGGCTTTGAATGTGAGGCTGATGAAGACGGTTTAGTCCTCGTGCATTTTCAAAGTTTCAAGTCAGATCACTACGGTGCAATGATGAAACAAAAAGAAAGACAGCAGTATTCCCACGTAGAAAAGTTGTGAATCAGAGCATTCAGACCAATGCAGGGAATGCACAGACCTGGAATTGGATCTATCATCCGAAACTCGCTGCCGTTCCCCTTCCTCCTTGGTAACATCTGCCATGCGAGACTTGATTTCCTTCACCAGCCTCTCAATTGCGACTCTTAATCTGCCCACTTCCCCCATTGCAACATCCCTATCTCGCATGGCCATTTCTCGAGAATCTTCCGCCCCTTCGGACTGTAGCAATCTGTCCACTTCTTTCTCCTTTTCTGGCAAATCCTTAGCTAAGTTCCGTGCTGGTGTCCTCCCCCTCCGCTCTCTGGCAACTGTACTTTTAACCGGAGTGCCATCTCTTCGGGAGACCTCTCTATCATTTTTAGGAGTCTTTGGCCGGTCCTTTGGAAACTCTTTCTTGCTATCAGCGACGCCATCTTTTGCTTCTAGGATCTCATCCTTAGGAATGGATGTCGATGGGATTGTAGTGCCATGAATAACAAAATTTCGTCGAATCGCTTCGTTTGTTTTCTCAGACTTAACTCTCTCTAGCAAAAAATTCCAGACTGGAATCATATTTCCTCGACAGATTTTGCGCAGCGAGTCTACCGAGGGTGGATTCTGATATCCCATTTCCTGTTGCAGCCATTTCAGGATGGTCTCCGCTTGTAGGGTACTACCATTAGATTGCATTTTGAAATAAAATACAGCTAGCTCGTTCACTGACACTGTCCTACCCGTTGCAACATAAAACTACTCTGCGTGTCGACTTAGCTGAAAGAATGCCCGTCTCTGAAACACGTTTCTGCAAGGCGGCTAAGGAAAAATGAATAAAGAAGAAAATAAATGAAGCTGAAGTGATACGCTATCAACAAGACTACAGATAACGACTCCAATTAATATCTTTCCTATCTACCTTCACACTGTATTCCTGCCTTGCAAAATCTTTCATGGTTGCAGGGCAAACTATGTCGAAATGGATTGAATTTAACGTGTGCTTACAATGCAAGTACAGACGGTGACGTAACCGTGTCAGCGTCTGTACATTAGTTACCACTTGTGTATGAAGGCTACAGTACATGAGGAATGCCTCAATAGAACACTGCAAGAGCATCACAGGAAACGCAGCAAGGGCTTCGATGACAGAGAACTAACTTGAATACGTACGCGAAGTAGCTACTGGGCCATTTGATCCAAGAGTAGAGAAATAGAGACTTGGAGTTCAAAGAAGAACAAACCGTTCATGTTCGTCTCCAATGACAATGGAGCTAGCGACCATCGTGCTGAAGAAGCGTCAAAAATGCTAGTTCCAGCTAATTCTTTCACGAAGCAATGCATTGAAAGCTAACAACCCACATTTGCACACTCCTACGCACCATCGACAATGCTCCGCTTCTCTCAAACGAACAACCATAGCCACCCAAAACCTCGCGTGAGAAAGCTATCCTGCTGCTAGGCTGCAATGCCACATGCGACTGAACAATCATAGCTGAACTAAATACACCTAACAGTATAGCAACTCAATTAAAGTTCCACAGCTGTAAGACTGAAGACATTACGCCACAAAAACTTAATGCAGACTGTACTGCACCACAATAATGACGCGCTTATAGGGATGCAGCCCAATTCCAGCATCGCATTGCATTGCTAAACCACAAGTCAAAATCGAAGACACAAGCTGGATGAACACTCTGTACTCAAAGAAATGCTAACTTCAACACTTCACGTTCATACACAAAGAGAACTAAAGGGAACTAAAAAGGAACCCAAAGAAAGAGGCAGAGAGAGAAAGCAAGGCAATAGCCAGCATGCGTGCGGTTTCGAGAAGAGCTGAAATGAGAAGGGAAACAAAAAAAACAAAAAAAACAAAAACAGCAGAAGAAGCAGAGCGTTGGACTCGGCAGATGGGCATTTCCTAGTCTGTAGACCGAAATTTGGAAGTAATGCACGGTTTGGAAGAGGAGAGAGCGGGGGAAAGGCGAAGAGTGGTTGCGGGGCGAGGGAGAGGTGGAGGCGGAAAGCGATCTCCCGCAATCAATAGCGATGGCGGTGGACCAGGCGCAGTTTCCTGCAACTCTTCGGGACTTGGCCAATTCCCCATGGGGTTCCAAGGAGACTGACACCACCTCGCTGCCCGTCGAATCGTTCGGTGGAAAGCCACTGCCCCGTCGAACTCCTCCTCGCACCCCACTCACTGGGTCCTGCTGCGTCCTCCCACTCTGTATTTCCAGGGGTCCGTCAGTCAAGCCAGAAGCTCAGAACATGGCGAGTGGCAGTGGTGGGCCCCATCGCCTCCATTTCTTTCAAACGAATCTGGATAGATGAAGGTGGTGGGTTTTGGGGTACCGTTGTTACTGAGATGGTGGAGAATCTGGTGTCGCAGTGGTAAGCTTCAGAGCTGAGAGGAGATGTTTCAGCAGGCGGCCTCGTTAATCTCGATTGTAGCGCACCGTTGCAGATCATCAAGCTTCGGTGTCAGATTCCCGAGCACTGGCAAATTGGTAAAACCTTCTTCCACTTGGCAAATTGTTTACTAGTGCCATTCTTTGCTGCATCAGTGTTAAGAATTGGAACGAATCGAGGCATGCTCCGAAAATCTGAAGAAAAAGAGTAATCTCCTTTGATAACTTGAAAAAACAGAAGGCCAAGCCGTTGCGACATTATACTTCATGACATGTTCAGTGTCACTCGGGGTAAATGTTACGATCAACGTGCCAAGATATCACTTCCTAGTGATCCATGGTATCTTGGGTCTGGAACCTCATGAGAATGCTAGTCTTCGTTTCCTCGCCCGGAATGATACTCATAGGTGCTACTTTGGCTACAAATTTACACTGAAGTCTTCACCCAATTGCTAGCGTCCTCTGACATTTTTATGGTCATCATCACTATCAAAAGAGGGTGAAGAGTTGTATCTATCAACGACTACCAAATCTGCTGAAGACGAAAACTTCACTGAATCATCATTGCTAACCGCTTCATCGGAACTAGCAAGGACCACGGGAGTATCTTTAAAATCTAGAGGAGATGAGCTATGTTCATGGGCCGAGGTAGAAGAGGAATGCAATAACTTGCCATCCACACTGTCTAGGATTTGCGAATCTTCTAAAGGAGAAGATTCATTAGCTTCATCGTCGCTATGCAGGTCTACAATCAAAGGAGTTTCAACGCCAGGGCCAACGTCAGATGACATGGCTTGCTTCCCAGCACCTTCAACTTCTTCACAGATTTGTCTGTGCAAAGATGCAACAAGATCAGAATGGATGGCTTTGGAATCGGAAGAGATGCAAACGTCATCCACGTCGATGACTAAAAGTTCTTCCGTCCCTTGTGATGAAGTCACTTGCTCTTGCAAGGGCTGCTTATCTGTAGCACTTGAATGATAGTCTTGATAAAGTCGTATGAGCAGGTTTCGAATCGCACTGCGCTTGGCAGACGCTTCTGATGATTTGAACCAAGTTCTTGTAAGCTGACACATTCAAAGAGAAGGTTACAATCGTAAGCACGATAAGGTATCTCCCACAAGATTCATTCCACAACAAAAATAATCCGAACCTAAACTATCATTTTGTAGCCAATCCCTGCAATTTAATCACTGGATCGATATATTTGTGTGTGTGTGTGTGTGTGTGTGTATAACGAAACAACAAAAGATGTTCCGACAACTATTAGACTTAATGTGGTTTTAAGGGTGTGCGTATGTGTGTGTACATACATACATACAGAATGGATTACTTTGGAATACTTAGAATTTGCACAAGCCCGAGGCTAAAACTGATATACAGATCTCCATTGGACGATCCAGAGCAGGTTGACAGAATGATTTCAAAAAACAAAAAAAAAAAAAGGGTCCGCTCACAAAGTATGGAAACCCTTCGAATGAAGCAAGGCTGAAGTGCTGAGGAGCTCCCTTAAGAAAGAGTTCAACATAATGCAAGAGGTAAATTCCACAATCGCAATGATTGATTTGTTGCGGGACCTGAAAATACCAGCACAACAATCAGGAGACTAACAAACAACTTTTCGTGCTCCTGGTTCCGGCATAAACTAGCTGCTGGGGATAAAGACAAGCAAAATTATTCTACTTGACATTGATGTACCGTAGCTTCTTTGTACTTCATATGAGACAATGCTTCATCGGCTGAACTTTGGTGCTCCTCAATCCACGCTTGTAGGATATAGCTGCATTGACTTAAAAGAAAGAGTGAGAGCCATTCATATAACAGAAAGACAAATTGATCAAGAAAGGCTCGAGTAAAGCAGATAACGTGCTGAAGGATGCTGCATGCGTCTACTTACTTTCGAATGTGCTCTTCAATACCCTCATGGTTCCCTTCCATGGAATCCAAATGCAAAATACAAGGTGTGCCCCTGCTTTCGTCTGTCAAGGAGAGTGAACACAAATCAGAGCTTCCTCCTCGGAAGAGCACATGTAAAATCGATAAATAAATAAAAGTTCAATTTAAATTTTAAAAATACATCCGCAAAGAGATTGATGAAATCCAAGCGAAAATTAGGAACATCTATTTACCAGGTGAACTTCCGAGATTACCAAGATGGCACACAATAATGAGACTCCAGTGCAAACTGCAAATTCAAGATGTATACACCACAATATGAGGGAAAAACATCGACCTTCGGGTGCACACACAAGCATCGTAATGTCTACATTGTAACTTCTTAAAGAAATTTAAATTAAAAAATCCACCCGCACATTTGCCTCGGTATTCACCTTTTAACTCATCATGCTACACTCGGCTATTGTTGCATATAACACGACAAGAACGAAGTTTACGAGGACGAGGAATGCAAGCGACGCAAATAGCACCTTTGATTGACAGGAATAAAAACATAGTCCTTCTCAAACAAGGACACCTTACGAGTCCACTTGCGCACTCGGTCATAAACAATCTTGCCTCGATTAGGACCGGTATATTTAATACTAGAATCAGCAAGCTTTCTGAAGAAAAAGCTGTTGAAAAAATAAAACCTCCCTTTGTCCTTGTCGGAGAGCTGGTTTTGCAAGTATCTGCATTGTGCACGCAAGTGATTGTTGATCGCTGTAAAATAGGGAGAATGACAAACGAAATAATAATCACACAATCTGAAGAAAGGACTCACATAATTTCAATGAAAAACTCATGATAACAAAAGTTGCCATTCAAATTCGCTACAGTAACGCAATTCCAAATCTATGTTGACTTATTTGAATCCGAACTTACTTTATATAGAAATCAATTATGGTATCGTTTAAGAATCCCATTGGCCGCAGCACATCTACATCCTTTGATGTGATTGTAACAGCATCTGGGTCCCCTTGAGGATACACAAGTGTTTCGAAAGTGCGCAACTCTGGACTAAGCCAGCTGCCAACGAACAGCCAAGAAAATCAGTTCTCAGTTTCTAATATGACTTCTTAGAAACCACAAATTCTATGCAACATAAACTCTTGCCAACCTAAAAAACAACAACTGTACTAAATGCTGATGAAATGATCATGAACACTTCTGACCTAGAGGAAGGTGAGGACATTTCTGGAATTCTTTCTGGTTCAACCTTCCTGCCAATTCATGGCCACATTGTTACAACACAATCCAGTCCGTGCACCACGACGAATTCGAGGAGAAACGTAGAGACAAGAAATACACTAATTAATGCACAAAACATGCGTGAGACATCAGGTTCACCCGTTCTGGAAATTGGCAACCACACTATGAAGAATTTAGTAATAACAGGGACTCAAAACATCATGACAAATCTCGACAACTTTGAGGCACCTTGCAAGATTCGCATTGATTGAGAGTTCTTCAAGTGGATATCTTGTTAGTCTTTCCTTGTATTTCGGCATTTCTTCGCTGGTGCACATTGAAGAAAGAACCATAATACGTTAAATCAAGGGTTAATTCTAAAATCAGTATTTCAAGCACATGCATTGCACCGCCTGTTCCAAATTACAGCCGGCTGGAGAACAGGATATTATTCGCATTTTGCTTTAATTATGTCAGTTGGAAGCCAACGTTCAAAACAGAGGATTGATGTGTGCGTCCGATTCAACGACAACAAATCAAAAACATTAAAGAATATGGCCCGCCAAACTAAAACTGATGGGATGTGCTACTTGGAGAATAGTTTATTCAGGTAATTCCAGAATTTACACACGTTTCAATTCGTTTCCAGACTTCCCGGTATCCCTGAGACAGTTCAAAAATTTTGCGCTGTTGATCTTTCCACTTATCGTTCTTTATCTCCATCACAAGTGTCTCCGTTACATCTACAGAGAAAACCAAAAACTCAGTGGAAGCTCATCTTAGGACATTACTGATGCGCTATACGAATGAAACAGCAAGTTGTAACATGAACGCTTCAACTCTATTTTAATGGATGCCCACCAGTAAGTAATGGAAGTTGAAAATACTACAACAAAGATGATTAAAATACTAACCGCTAGGATGTGTGCACTCATTATCAGAACACCGCCCGAAAACTCTTCGCTTGTGCAGAAGTAAAACAACAATAGCTTTCTCGTCTGCCTGCAAAGGTAGTCCAAGGTCAAAAAAATTGCAGGAGATGATCAATAAACACAAGCGATAAAACACTAATCTGAAGCCAGCAAATTGTTTACATTCATTTCGGTAAGACATCAATGGAGTTCAAATTCCAATAAGTGTATAATTTGTTCATGTGACTAGCACGAACAAAAAATCTGGTCTTTCTATGCCCATGCTTACATTTTCAGTATGAAACTTGTAGAAGCTTTTGAATACACAAAGGTCATCGCGTTGCCACTTTCTGGAAAGTATTTCCTTTGCTTGCTTCACTTCAATGTGCTTTTCGGAGAAAATCACAGTCAAAAACCGTCCATAGTGCTGATTAAGTCTTGCACGAGAAGCAGTTACAATGACCTCGTTACGGATGGAGAAGCTCACTACATCTTTATTCCTAAGCATCCCTTGCTTGGAATTGTAGCCAGAGATACTGACCTGCTGCACAGAATTAGTTTTCAAAGTTGGATCAGCTGATTTGGAAATATCCAAAGCAAAATTTCATCGCAAAGAAGTACTTGAATGCTGCGTCCTCTCACATTAAGAATTACGTTACTACATGGTACTGCCATCCAGAAGCAGTGGAAACACTTAAAAGTTTTTATGTTAACACACTGCAAAAGTGAGATGTTGTACAATGTTGGATATCATGAGAAGTATAGTTTTGCACAAGGCATGTGCCCCCTTGCAGTTACACATGTAAAGATCGATTCCTTACAAAGTAACAAGCACAAATTACCTCACGGAACAAAGACAAACTGCGCACACACACATACACAGCGTGCGTGTCTGCTTCGCATTAGTGATGCATAACATTTACGTGCCGAATTGTCTAGGTACATATGTAATTCTAGGATTGAAGGTTTGTCTAGGATTTGGTTTAGGATTTATTGTTTGTTTAGGATTTCTTAAGAATTCTTTTAAGGTTTATTGTGGATTTTCTTTCAATTCCTTTAAAATTTCCTACTATTTTTCTTGTATTTTCTTTAAGATTTCTTTTGAATTTGATTATAGCTTGTTTAGCATTGTTAAGGTTTAATTAGAATTTATTTAGTATTCTATTATAATTAAAACTTTATTAGAGTAATTTCCATTCTATCTTCTACAACTAGGTGCCATGTACATTCTCAAGCAAGACTTCACATAATATGACATATTTGGTGAACCTAACGTGAAATTCTTGATGTAGAAGGTATTTGGTATTCTTGGATTATTTGAATTATTGAGAAGAAAGGCAAGAGATTTGAAGGATGAGCTAAGGGTGGTGCTTCAATTAGAGCTACAAGTGGCAGAATTAGTAGAGGACAAGATATGTATTTTGATTTCAACTCTAAAAGTATATTTGAGGCTTTTGCCTTATTCATGCAACAATATCACGATAAAGATCACAAAGAAGGTATAGCAAACAAAGCATTATAAGTAGTTGTGGATAAGATTGATCAATTTGAAAGGAAGGATATTACAAAATATATAAATTGTTATGTAAAGAAAATGGAATTGAAGCATATTTCAGAAGGGGAGATAAATCAATTATTTGAATTAGCCCTTGTATCAAAGATAAGAAATCAAGTAAAGTCCCTTATAGGATATTTTGAAGGTTCATAGGAAAAATTTTCTTAAGCATTGAAGGATGATTTTTTTGTGGAAGATAGTAATAAGGTCACAAAGAAGTCATTTTTTAAATGGATTGAAAGGCCAAAAAAAGGTCTTCTAATAAAAAAATTATTAAAAGAGTTTGAAGAATAATATTCATTTTTATCAAAAAATAAAAAAGCAATCATTAGTTCTAAATAAAGTAGAGCTTTTTCTTCAAGCACATGATGGAAAGTTATAAGAAAAGTTAGAAATCTTGCTTGAAGATAAAAAAGAAAATGAAGAATTGACAACAGATTAAAAGAGAGTAGAAGAGATAGTAGGATTGCTTGCAAAAAGAGAAAGGAGAAAAGACACGGTGGATATTCAAAGACTATTGCAAATATCTCAAGTAAAAATATCTAGTATCAATCCTTCATCTACAATTCAATCTTTAATGGCTACATCAAAGAAAGAAGAAATGGGCATCGATGAAATTATATAAGGGACGAGAGATTTACAAATAAAATTTGTAAAATTTGAAGAGAAGGATCAATCATTAAGAATATCAACAAAACAAAGGTTGAAATTGATAGAAGTTATAGTACATAGGTGCATGTGGTATAAAAATATAAATCATTTGAGAAGAGAATGTGAAGATTTTACAAAGGTACTATATAAAAAGATTATTTTTTTCAAAGATGATATGATACATGTAGAATAGGTAAATAAACTTTGTGATAAGTTACTGTAGAATAGGTAAATAAAATTTGTGGTAAGTTACTGGTTGGTTATTTACAACCTTGAAAATTAGACTAATGGTTAGGCAGTTTAGTTGGTAACAGTAGGTTGTTAGTGGAATAAATGGTTAAGAATTCAAAGGGTCATAACCTTTAGAATCTACTGGCCGACGGATCATCTTTTGGTGGGATAAATAGGTTGAAGAAAGAGAGATCAAGAGTCAGACTGTGAGAGTTGTAAGCGAGGGTAAGCTTGGTGCTACTTCTTTAATTTTTTTGCTTTTATTATTTGCTTATGAAGAATTATGATTGAGAGAAGTATTGTTGAATTGATAGTCATAGAATAGATTATGTGTTGAATCAAGATGGAAGTAGTAAGCCTTGGTATTTTATACTTTGATAATTGATTTTAGATAGTCAGAGTACAGTCAATTGTGACACTAATAAACCCAATTCATACAACTAGTCTTTTCCAATGTTCGAACTCACTTCTATTAATTCAATTGCTTTGGTATACTGAAGCTTGAACACAACGAGAACAATATTTTGGCGCCGCTGCCAAGGAACTGATAACAATATGAAATATTAGAAATTAATTGTATGGAAAGAATGAAAGATTATGAGTGATAATCATTAAGGAGAGGATTATCAAAGAATTAATGAACAAGTGAAAGAAAGATAAGAGCATTTACGCATAAGAAATATCCTATGGAAACGACAAAAAAGAATTGTAGGTCCAAAAAAAACCAAAGGAAGAAAAATTCATATTCAAATAGTAAGGAGACCAGTGATAACACCAATGGCCGTAGGAGTGCCAAAAGTACCAATTGCAGTATAAATGGGAGCAGTAGGAGACCGAACTACAAGTGTAGCACCATTACCTACTTTTAGTGGTTGATCGGGCTCTGATTTCGATCACCATATATCTCAATTCTTGATAGCCTACGTGACTAATAATGGTAGAACTCAAGACATTTGGTTGAGATGGTTTCCAATAACTTTAAAAGATACAGCTTTTGAATGGTATATTCGGCAACCAGTGGATAGATTTCTCAATTGGGAGGCCTTGAGGAATGCCTTTCCAATCCATTTTAGACCAATTGGATTTGAAGATTGGCTTCGAGAAAGTTTTATGAATAGCAAGATGTTTGCGAGGGAATCAGTGGAGTCCTATTATAGCCAAATCATGGATATACTTTGTAAATGGATAAATAATCAAATGCCAGATATGTTTATATTGTCGATATTAATTAATGGTTTGCATCCACCAGAATTGAAAATGTTTGTAAAAGAGGCTCGACCAACTATGGCAGAGGCATCGTTGGCTTGAACAAAGGTATGGGAAGAATGTCATTATGACCAATTATTAACAGTAGAGGCCACGATGATTCCAAGTTCAGGAAGCCAACAAATACAACCGAAAAATGTGTCAATGGATAATTATCTACAAATCGCTGCCTCCAATGTGAAGAATGTTATGATGCAACAACCAATTAATGCTACACCACTCCAAGCAATAGCGCCAATAACAATGACACCTTATTTTACATCCCCAACCTATCAACAACTAAAGTTGTTAACAAATGCAATTGTTAAAGATCCAAATGAAGCCTTGTTATTAAATCTAACAAAGAAGATGGAAGAATTGGCCATGAATTTGGCTAAAGATAAGAAAAAACGACATAAGCCTTCTAATACAAGACCTAATGTATGGTGTAATAATTGTAAGGGACAAATTCATTTTGATACGGAATGTCCATCACCCAAACAAATGGATGTTCAATATACATTTTGCGGAGGAAAGCACCCTATCCAAAACTGTTGGCATTTACAAAGGCAACAATAATTCAATAATCAGACCATGATCCCACCGACTCAGTGGGAAGTCAATCAAGTTCAAATGAAAAATATGTATGGATGGAATAGAAATCGATCTAATCGACAAAATTGAGCATTCAATAACTTTCAAAGTTCTAATTTTAATCAGGGATCTACATCAAACTTCCAGAACTATGGGAAGGAACATTAGAGGTATTAGCAATATGTTCCATCGATGTCATCAAACCAAGTATCCTTCGTACCAACGAGACAACTAGAATCATTTTCTAACTCTACATGGAATAAGCGTAGTAGGTATATACTGGTGGACACACCTAATATGCCAGATGGAGGTGCAAGAAGACTACTTTGTTGTTTTCGTTGCAGGCAAATTGGTCATTATGCCAGTGAATGTCCCAATCCCAAAGCTAGTGACGATTATGCACCAGTATGTATGAATTGCAATGAGTCATGATATACTTATCAGCAATGTAATGCTTCGTTCAATTTCAATAATCAAGATCAACAAATTCAAAGCCAAGGAACAATGGACGAGATAAATGAAGGTCCTTAAAATTCACCAGTTCATCGAGTAGAAGTAGTCAAAGCTATCCATACAAGAAGTCAACAAAAGAAAAAAAGATCAATTCAATATTTGGGTGCTCCAAAAGCGAAGGGCCAATTAGATTTAATTATGGGGACATCCAATCGAGGTCCTGACATGGATCTCTTACTCAGTATAAGACCTGAATCGGTTGTGCAATCCAATGAGGTAATGATTACGAAGGCTTTGGTTCTGTGTCAAGCTATTCCATTCTCTATACAATTTCGAGAAACATCTTTTTAATTGAAAGATACTCTCAGAGGCATGAATTCCAAAGAACCAATATTAGCCCAATTGGAAGAACAATCTTACCCATTGAAAGAAATAATTTTACAAACTCCGTCAAATTCAGTTTCAATAGCTTTATCAATTTCTAATATAGAGAAAACCAATTTACCTACGTCGGTATCTAGGACTGGGAAGAAGAAACAGACATTGGAAATTATCACTAATACAGAACCATATGATATTCTAAAAGATTTGGGTACTATATAGCCCACGATCTCTATGAAGCAACTATTGGCAGTAGCACCTAAATGTCGAACTATCTTGAATTCTTCATTAATTTGTTGCAAATCTTGAAATAAAGACATCCAAAAAGTAAGTTTGAATTCCGATCCAAGTGCACCAATGATTGATGTCTCAATTGATGGAGTGTTACTATCGGGAGTGCAGTAGACAGAAGATCTAGTATAAATCTTATGAATGCTGCTACAATGGAGGAGTTGGGTTTGGATCACCTATTGCCTATAGTAGTTTTGAGAATGGCTAACTCCAGTCAAGTTAAACTTATGGATATTTTACAAGG